CTCTCTCTCTCACACACACACACACACACACACACACACACACACACACACAATTCTCTCTCTCACACACACACACACACAGAGAGAGAGAGAGAGAGAGAGAGAGAGAGATCTGTCTGATCTGTGTCGCTCTCGCATGGAGGGTAGACTACAGGCAAAGATAGGGAATAGGGTGGATTGTGACCTCGCTATGACTCACTGGTTGCTAGTGGTTGGTGATCAGAAGGTATCCTGCGCTGTCTCAGTGTCTCTTTCGATCCCTGTTCTGAGCACGCACCACCACCTTCGCTGGCTGTTCAACTTCATCCCCCCGCTCGCTTTCGACCTCTGTCCTGAGCACAACCACCTTCGCAGACACCACGGTTCTTCAACTTCAACCCCCCGTACCGACGTTCCGACGCATCCGACCTTATACTCCCAAGCGAGTAACTGTTGGTACCTTTTTTTTTTGTTTTTTTTGTTTTTGGTGGTTGGTACCTTTTCCTCGCAGCAGTCCGCCGGTAACGGGCCTCGCTCCACTACTCTCCAGAGTTTCCACATGCACAAACGACAAACAATATAGCAATGTATCTTTCCATGTTTTACGGGACGATTCAGTCTTATTTTGAGCATTTGGAGAGCAGTGGAGCGAGGCCCAATGTGTTGGAGCTGCGGTTCCCTTTCCCTTTCGATTTGCTCTCGACCTCTTTCAAACTTGAGCGTCAACGCCGCCCTCCCTGGTTGCACTCCGAGGGAAGAATGGAGAGGGAAAAATTATAAAACCTCTCCGCGACAAAACCTCCTTTCGAGTCCTTTGTATTCATTGCCCCCAAACGGGGCAACAAGTTTGGCAGGCCCCAAAATGAGGTGTTTTTCCCTCGGTTCAGGTGGTTCTGCCCTCCTTGAGCAAGGACAGTCATACCACGGCTTTGGGCCTCGTCACACCACTCTTGAAAACTCCTTTTCAAGAGTTGCTGCATTGCCACACAGCCTGTTGACACTTGGGGCAGTCAAGAGCTGTCAGAGTGGCGTCCTCTTGAAACCCGTTCAAGACCAGCTCTTGAAAGATTGGAAACCACAGTCCCTGTCTCTTATACACATCTAGATGTGTATAAGAG